CTGTTGGACATGATGTTCCTTCTACTACACTAAAGAAACAAAAGTTGAAAGCCCTGTTAGACCTGGTGTTCCATCTGCTACACTAACCAAGCAAAAGTGATAAGCGTTGTTGGAACTAATGTTCCGTTTGCTACACTAACGAAGCAAGGATGGGAAGCCCTTTGGGACCTGGTGATCAGTTTCCTATAGTAACCAAGCAAGAGTGGGAAACCCTGTTGGACCTGGTGTTCCATTTGCTAAACTAACGAAGCAAAGGTGGGAAACCCTGTTGGACCTGGTGTTCCGTCTGGTACACTAATCAAGCAAGGGCTTGAAGCCCTGTTGGCCCTAATGATCTGTCTGTTACACTAACCAAGGAAGGATGGGAAGCCCTGTTGGATCTGCTGTTCTGTATAATACAATAACCAAGAAAGAATGGGAAGCCCTGTTGGGCCTGGTGTTTCGCCTGTTATAGTAACCAAGCAAGAGTGGAAAACCCTGTTGGACCTGGTGATCCGTGTGGTACAGCAACCAAACCAGGGTCAAAAAGCCCTGTTGGCCCTAATGATCTGTCTGTTACACTAATCAAACAAGAGTGGAAAGTCCTATTAGACATTGTATTGTGTTTGCTACACTAGACAAGCAAGGGTGGGAAGCTTCCTGTGATGTCAGATAATGGTAATTTTAGCCAGCGGTTGTGTCTTACTAAATAATACATTCTATCATGAAGCCTGGCACTGGAGACGTTTGCAAGAGATCTACAAGTGACAAGTCAGATTACCTTTAACTCTATTCCATTTTCTCAGCTTCTAACTTATCATACAATAAACTGAAATGTCATTTTCAAATTCGATATGGACTATAAAAAAGCCACTTTCTTGACCACTGATAATCTCATTTTTAGTGTGTATCTTGATTAACTAGTAAGCCTATTCTGGTTGTAGATGTGGTGTTTGGGCTAATCGAGGGTGAGAAGGATGACAACTGGACCAAATTTAGTTGCAATAAAAAGCTATCCAAGCCTTTAGTGGCCAGGGTCTTAGATTTTACCAGGAGGACACCATGACAGAGCTAGCTGTAATGTACTAGGAGAGGGAACTAATACTGACTTGTACGACACCAGTTCAGCCATCATCTGGAGCTAGCAATGATTAATTGATCAAGCAGATGTCTCATGAAAGAGTGTAACATGGTAAAGCCAAAACATGGGTGACATCATTTCTTTCCTTCAATGGAACAAAGAATGCATGAACTACATGACAGAATTAGTTGTAATGCCGAGTCAAAAATGTGACACCTATATTCTATGCACATTAAAGCTAAATTAGGAATGACTGTCTATTCATGAATATTAAGGCCTCTAATACGGTCGATAAACCCATTTGTCAGTTTGAAAACAACAAACACCGAAGTTGATAGTCAAATCATTTTATTAAGTTATTTATGTTTGTTTGTTATTATGCATAAAACTACATAAACGGCTATCTGTGCTGTGCACATCGCGAGTATCGAAACCCGATTCTTAGCATTATAAGCTCTGAGACTTAACGCTTAGCGACTGGGGGACTAATACGTTATAGAAAACGTATATTGACCAGAAGAAATAAAAAAAATATCAGCTTTTTAAAAGACATTTGTAGAAATTGACCTACATTTTCAGAAATTTTAAGTTTATCAACAAAGTGCATTTGTTTGTTTGTTATTAAGGACAAAACTACACAATGGTCTATCTGTGCTATGTACACCACGGGTATCGAACTCCAGGTTTTAGCATTATAAGCATTCAGACTTACCGCTGGAGGGAGGGGTGACCAAATGCATATTCTACACATAAAAACAGCAACGAACTGTCAGTGATTGTCTATTGTTCACGTGATTTCCTACGTGTTTCACAGTTACAGGATATATTAAACGTATTTCATGTTAATTATTATTTCAACCGCACGTTTCATCTACAGGTTATCAATACTGCTTCCTGCGTGTAGTCCAGTTGAACTTCGGATTAGCACCTCTCCTCCACGTGCCCTCGAATATTTATATTCACACGTGCAGGGTATTTAAATAAGATATGTTGGGAATTTATATTTCATCCTTATATTACAGTGACGCAAGAAAAGAATAAAATGCGCATAAAAAAAAGTAAATGTGTTGGTTTTTCCAAATCACTTTTTTTTTATAGATTTTCAAATGAAGTCTTTCATCTTTATTGGTCGCTTTTAATAATAGTCTCTTGGAAGTTAGATAAATACGCGTAACAAGTTTGCGATTCGTTAGAGTTTCTCAGTATTCGAGTCACGCAAAGTTTCTTAAACAACGTCGTGTTAGGAAGGAAACCTGAAAATTCCCCATTCTTGCCCTCTTTCTCAGATCGGGTTTGACTTATCAAGAAGATCTTGATAAATCAGAAGTTTTTTTTCCAGTAAATATCAACCAGAATTTTAAAAAAGAGGTAATTTTTCGTATAATATCATTTTATTCCATAACTTAAAGAGATCAAACTATTTAAACAAATATGCCAAGTTGTAAGAAGAGAATATGTTATTTACAACAGTTTCGTTCTTTAAAATCATTCATGAATCGTGTTATTAAGACTGATCTTTAGTTTTAGAGTTATGCAGTTAACGATATAGACCGTGTTAACTTGTCATTTTGGAGGTTGGGAACAAAACGTGTGTTAAGATGTGAAATTATGTGGCTTGAGTTTTATTTCTAAGAGCATGTAGAAAATAAACGTACGTATAAGATCTAATATATATATATATATGTTGTGGTTTTAGTTTTATTTCTAAGAGCATGTAGAACACAAACGTATGTATAAGATCTAATATATATATGTTGTAGTTTGAGTTTTATTTCTTAGGGTGTGTGGAACAAATACGTATGTATATGATCTAATATATATGTTGTGATTTGAGTTTTGTTTCTTGGGGTGTGTAGAACATAAACGTATGTATATGATCTAATATATATGTTGTGATTTGAGTTTTGTTTCTTGGGGTGTGTAGAACATAAACGTATGTATAAGATCTAATATATATATGTTGTAGTTTGAGTTTTGTTTCTTAGGGTGTGTAGAACATAAACGTATGTATAAGATCTAATATATATATGTTGTGATTTGAGTTTTGTTTCTTAGGGTGTAGAACATAAACGTATGTATAAGATCTAATATATATATGTTGTGATTTGAGTTTTGTTTCTTAGGGTGTAGAACATAAACGTATGTATAAGATCTAATATATATCGTGTGATTTGAGTTTTATTTCCAAGGGCTTTAGAACATAAAACGTATGTCCACGATCTACTACAGGACTAGTTTTAATGTAGATATAGCATTTAACTTTTGTGCAGATATAGTAGTCACCGTATTATTAAATACGTTAAAGAAAAGGGCAGTATGGAAGTTTCGAATACAAGATACCGTGAAGTAACACTACAGTGTATAAATATACGCATATATATGGGGCTAGTGAAGCATTTTATGTTTATAATCACAAATTTGTGGGCCTTAACCATAGCCCCCTCCCAGTGGCACAGCGGTGTGTCCATTGTTTAGCTTTGTACTTAAATACAAACAAACAAACCTTAGCCATAAGCTCTTCATCAGTAGAAAAAAGTTTTAGGAAATTTTACACCAGGAGTTATACTGATAAATGATACTAATATTTCGGATTTCAGGGCATGTAAGTGATTTACATAATCCCATTTGCCCCCCCCCCCCGATAGCTGAGGGCTTATAACAAATAGCCCATTGTTTAGTTTTGTGCTTAACAATAAAGAAGTAAAAAAATGGTTTGTTCCATTATGATATGTCTTAAGTTGCTCGCTATTGAACGTTACTAATAGAAGGGTTAGCCGTGATAAAGTACTACAATAACATATTGTTTTGCTCAAAGAAGAAGCGTAATAGTATTCCTAACAGTGTTTACAACAGGAGTTGAAACAGTTTGGTATACCTAAACTTTTGTATGTTTATTTATGATTCTCCCGTCAATATTCTTTGACAGTTGAAGATACATTTATGATTTTAAAGCCACTAGATGGCGCTGTCAAACAAGTTATGTTACTTTACATAAAATATTGATGTAATGCCTGCGCCTCTTGAAGATGAATTGTCGTAACCGCCGCGTGATTATGTTTTTATTTTCAAGAATTGCGAGATACAGTATGAGCCAACTGGAGATGAAACTTGATTTGCCGTGACCGTAAGTCAGTATTGGAGGTGTATGGAACATAAATGTATGTATAAGATCTAATACATATGTTGTGATTTAAACGTATGTATCTTCAATCAGTGGGTGAAATATTATAATTTCCAACGTGTTGGGCCATCATGTGCTTGGATACGACATGCTATTGACTTCACTAGCAAATGGAAGGCACTTGCCTCAATCTTTAACCATTTCTTAATGTTGTCACCAATTCTGCTAAAGTGTTCAGACTTCACTAGCAAATGGAAGGCACTTGCTTCAATCTTTAACCATTTCTTAATGTTGTCACCAATTCTGCTAAAGTGTTCAGACTTCACTAGCAAATGGAAGGCACTTGCTTCAATCTTTAACCATTTCTTAATGTTGTCACCAATTTTGCTAAAGTGTTCAGTCAGCATTTATAGGTCGGTTTTATATTTCGTGATTGTTAAAAAGATCGAATAATTAAAACGATTAGGCCCAAAACAAATAACATTGTGTATAAATCGAACAGTAGAGTGGGGATGTAAAATCTATTCCAGTAAAAAAAGGTATCAGCAGCAATAGGACTCACTCAGTGGTGGAGGGACACAGCTTATCGTATTTAACTTCTATTCAGAATGTAGAAATATAAGAAAAATCACGTTCACGAAACTAACAAATTCGATTACGATGAATTTCACAACTGGTATAATCACAAATCCCTGGAAGTGGCGGTTAGTCCGGATATTTTGTCATCCTTATCCGGAAGGGCTACCGCCATCTTAAGATTTTACGCACCATACGTCTCCCTCAACCTTATCAGACACTGGTTTTAGGATGTTGCATAATAACTTCTTGGTTAACGCATAATAAAGATTAGTTCCTCAGTGCATTCAGTTTGACCTTGCTATTACAAGTCAGAGTTAGGCTAGTGCTTGCACGAGTGTTGTACGTGTCGTATCATAAAGTTCCCTCGTAATTACAGTTACGGCATTTTCCTTATATAGTTATGTAAGTGATCAGTTGAGCAAAATTATTTCCTTTCTTGAGTTAAACAAAGTAAACAAGGGAAGACGGAATTTAATCCCCTAGTGACAAGGGGGTTGCCCTAGTAACACAGTTTGGAACCTAAAGCAACAAATGTTAGAGACTCTCTAAAGGAAAAACCGAGTGTTCAAGGACGTTCTCGAGTTTGATGCAAAGAGAGAAATACGAAGCATCTGGTACTCTAGATTGAAGTTACAAACCGGCTGCCAAGGATAAGAATCCTAACTTAAGTAAGGCTATATAAATGTTTGACTAATTAACTATAGATATGTTTCGCAGTCCAGGAAATTATATATGTTTTATTTTTAACTTTTTTTTATGTTATCCAAAACTTAATGGTTAGGCTGTTGAAATTGATAATTAAGTACGAAAAAATTAAAAAAAAGCAACAGATCATTTTACATGATTTATGATGAAGTACAACAGCGTTATCTCCTTTTTTATATTTTAATTTTTTTTATATTTCCTGATTACAGAAGAGGCTTTATACGATGAAATCTCTTCTATAAAAAAACACTAAACTATAAACCAACTTATCTTCACGATCTAAGCTATAAAACAACAGCTTAAAGGAAAACAAGTTATGATTTTTACTTCTGAATAACTTTGGCATAACTGTTTAGCCTATCTAAACATGAAGAATCTGTTTCTGAAAATTCCTGTTTCCAGTTGTGTATTTATGTGTGTGTGTGTGTAATTTTGAATACACCAGAGAGCAGTTTTTGTCTTTTTTGGCAGAAGTCAAGCCGAGTTTGAACTCAAAATATTGATTGATTTTATTCAGGAAGGCAACTAGACAGCTATTGAAATACTCTTTTCTTATTGAACAGTGGTACTTGACAGCCACTATTAAAACGAACCAACAGCCCTAAAGTAACGGGATTCGAACAGTGGACCCATATCAGAGACACAGTCTCCGATAACTCGTTTTCAACCTGGAAATCCAGGATAGTAATGATTTACATAATTTTTTGATGGTAGTTAACTTTTGAAGGAATACCATGACAGTTAATTTTTTCCAGGACGATACTCTATCTTTAATGATAATAACATGACAGTTAATTTTTTTCTAGGACGATACTCTATCTTTGATGGTGATAACATTAGCTTTCATAAAAATAAAAAGAATTTCAGTTTTAAGGTCGTATCCTGAAAAAACAAAATATTTGAAGTAAATATAAGACTTCCTCTTTTTAAATCTTTTTTTAAAGAAAATCGTGAATTTATAAGGCGAAGAAGCCATATAAGAGTTTGTTTGTTTTCGTATATTTGAGCAAAGCTATTCAAAGGACATGGGCACTAGTTGATAGACAAGAAACCCATTAAAGATAGAGTATCGTCCTAGAAAAAAATTAACTGTCATGGTATTACAATTAAAGATAGAGTATCGTCCTAGAAAAAAATTAACTGTCATGGTATTACAATTAAAGATAGAGTATCGTCCTAAAAAAAATTAACTGTCATGGTATTACCATTAAAGATAGGGTATCGTCCTAGAAACAAAATTAACTGTCATGGTATTAGAATTAAAGATAGAGTATCGTCCTGGAAAAAAATAACCGTTTTGTTGTTAACATTAAAGATAGGGTATCGTCCTAGAAAAAAAATTAACTGTCATGGTATTACAATTAAAGATAGAGTATCGTCCTGGAAAAAAATAACCGTTTTGTTGTTAACATTAAAGATAGAGTATCGTCCTAGAAAAAAAAATTAACTGTCATGGTATTACCATTAAAGATAGGGTATCGTCCTAGAAAAAAAATTAACTGTCATGGTATTAGAATTAAAGATAGAGTATCGTCCTGGAAAAAAATAACCGTTTTGTTGTTAACATTAAAGATAGGGTATCGTCCTAGAAAAAAAATTAACTGTCATGGTATCACCATTAAAGATAGGGTATCGTCCTAAAAAAAATTAACTGTCATGGTATTACCATTAAAGATAGAGTGTCGTCTGAGAAAAAAATTAACTGTCATCCTCTTTTCATGTGACGAACAACTCTCGTCAACAACACATAGTGAACATACCTATATATATATATATATATATA